GTTAATAATCAGTAAATCTGAATGTTATATTTATTCGATTCCCATTATTCTGAGAATATATAGTGAATTTTACTTAAACAGAAGTAAGCAATTGATCTCTGTAGTGGAAAAATATTGTTTTTTGAAGGGTTAGATTTTTTAAGTATAGTTTAGAGCTTTAGCAACGAAGAGTTTAATAACTAATTTATTAACTTACCTGACTAGCTTACTGAACAACTCAATTACTGACTTCTTATGTGACTAACTAATTTGTTAACTAAGCGATTAATCAACCAACTGATTAACATTATTTGTTGCCTGATTAACTTACATACTGACTAGCTGACAAGCGGCCAACTAATTGACCAACTCACTCAAAGATATAAAAATTCGAAGGTTCAAAACCGCTTATAACACATAGCACCCTCTCAAGTTCCACCAATCTCAGATCTTCACAACATGTTTTATTATCTGTAATGGATAAAATGTCATTACCTAATTACAGAAACCGTTACATCTCGGTAGGTCTGCATTCATTACACGTTGAGTAGTTAAGGTTCTATTAAGTTCAGTTAAAATGTTGACTTAATTAGTTGTTGGCATCTTATAACAGTCGTCGGAGTGCTTTCGACTTTAGACTTAGCAACTCATGCGCGTGGTTCAGATTAGAATTCCATGTAGCCACTGTAATAAACCTTTGGGTTCCATAATAAGATAGACATTTCTTGACTGTATGAGTGACTGGTAGCTTCTCAAATACGATTCAGCTGAGTTATTTAGTTAGAGAAATTTAGCATTAAACCATTTAACAAGTCAGAGCATGTATTTTAATGCAGAAAGGCCATGAAATTTTCAACAGAATGTTTTTACACCAGAATTGGATTATTTTCGTATTTGATACATAGGCCTAATATGTTAAAAAGTTTTCATTTAAACGTGATTAAGTGCGTGCTTTTTTAGTATGTGATTTATTTTTAAACTTAATGAAAGTTGCGGTGTAGCGGTTAGTAATGCTGCTTCGTATTCCAGAAGTCTCTGTTTCAAATTTCAAGCCGGGTACCATATATCTTATCTGAGGGTTTTTGTGGTTTTACTCAGCCCCTTCCGGCACGTGTTGTGTTAGTACTTGACGGCCGCTTATTTCTCTATTCTTTCCAATTTCTTATTAATGATTATCCAATCATTTGACGCTCTCAAATCTGATATATTGATAGCGTCATTAAATAAACAATAAATAAATGAATAAATAAATAAATACATTAATTAATTAAACGTTTATAAACTTCTTGAACAGAATAACCTGAGATAATCTATTATTCAGTTTAGTTCGTAAATTCTTAACATTTAATTTTTTATTTAGTAATTCTCCTGTGTATATGGAAATATTAAATTGTCTCAAACATAATTGTTTTTTTAGGATTTGAGGTTTTGACGGCGGTGAGTTTGAAGATTGCTGTCTTGTAGGTTGTTGCGCCGTGTAGTCTGGTAGATGTTTACCGACGTTTCAGAGGTCCTTGCTGCTTCCATCATCAGGACGATTCAGGCAGCAAGGACCAGGACAGCAATCTTCATAATTATTGTTGTACGACGAAAAGTCTAAAAACGTAATAAACTGACTGTGAAACTATGAGTAATGAGTATAAAATTGTTAACGACTGATTTTATTTTAGCTTTCCATTAGGAACGGTGTTTATAAAACGATTACGTTTAGTCAATGCTTTCATGTTCCTCCCGATACGTGGTAAGCAACATTGCTGTTGTATTTAATTCCTTTCTGCAACTAATATGCACGTTCAATCCGTCGTAAATTCCCCAATCTGAGCGACCTAACTTTAGTAGTAGGACTCAGCAAATTCCCAAGTTTTTCTCCGGACGTTAAATGAAAAATGGTTAAATAATTTCGAAATCTAAGCTCTTTAACTTTGAAAGCAAGTAATAGTGGCCTATCTTAACTTAGTTCTTCCTGATTTGTTATTTATTTATTTATTTCCTTATTTATTTTGTGGTAAGTTCCAAATATGTTACTTGCGAATTTGCATACTGCATTGGTCTTAATGTTCGCTGCACAAAGAAATCTATTGTAGAAACAATAACATTGTTAATCACTGTCGAAGATTCACTGAACCAAATGTACCGACGCCTTTCAAGGGTTCCCGGCATGTCACGTTAGCCTGCGATGTACAATGAAACAGTTTTATTTATCACTAGTCTTTTATTCATCACCACGGTCATCATTCATACGCTTTTCAACTTAGGTATGACAAAGCCTTCTTGGTTATTCTTCCACCATCATTGACCTGGTGATGATGGCAGCCTTCATCTCTGATTCACCAGTAAACATCTACCAGACTACACGCCGCAACAACCCAGAAGACAGCCATCTTCATACTCATCGCCCTGATGACGGAGACAGTATGACCTCTGACACGTTGGTAAACATCGACCAGACTACACGGCACAACAACCCAGAAGACAGCCATCTTCATACTCATCGCCCTGATGACGGAGACAGTATGACCTCTGACACGTTGGTAAACATCGACCAGACTACACGGCACAACAACCCAGAAGACAGCCATCTTCATACTCATCGCCCTGATGACGGAGACAGTATGACCTCTGACACGTTGGTAAACATCGACCAGACTACACGGCACAACAACCCAGAAGACAGCCATCTTCATACTCATCGCCCTGATGACGGAGACAGTATGACCTCTGACACGTTGGTAAACATCGACCAGACTACACGGCACAACAACCCAGAAGACAGCCATCTTCATACTCATCGCCCTGATGACGGAGACAGTATGACCTCTGACACGTTGGTAAACATCGACCAGACTACACGGCACAACAACCCAGAAGACAGCCATCTTCATACTCATCGCCCTGATGACGGAGACAGTATGACCTCTGACACGTTGGTAAACATCGACCAGACTACACGGCACAACAACCCAGAAGACAGCCATCTTCATACTCATCGCCCTGATGACGGAGACAGTATGACCTCTGACACGTTGGTAAACATCGACCAGACTACACGGCACAACAACCCAGAAGACAGCCATCTTCATACTCATCGCCCTGATGACGGAGACAGTATGACCTCTGACACGTTGGTAAACATCGACCAGACTACACGGCACAACAACCCAGAAGACAGCCATCTTCATACTCATCGCCCTGATGACGGAGACAGTATGACCTCTGACACGTTGGTAAACATCGACCAGACTACACGGCACAACAACCCAGAAGACAGCCATCTTCATACTCATCGCCCTGATGACGGAGACAGTATGACCTCTGACACGTTGGTAAACATCGACCAGACTACACGGCACAACAACCCAGAAGACAGCCATCTTCATACTCATCGCCCTGATGACGGAGACAGTATGACCTCTGACACGTTGGTAAACATCGACCAGACTACACGGCACAACAACCCAGAAGACAGAAATCTTCATACGCGCCGCCATGCTCTAAGCAAGAAGTGTCTCGACGATGTAAACTAGTTTTCAAAGTTTGCAAGACAGTAGCCAAGTCTTTTGGCGTTAAAAGGGAAGCCTAATTTTGTGAACGACAACAACAAAATTCTGCTTGGAGGCTATTTTAATTATAACTCTCTTAAATATCCGAAGGATCACCTGACCTTGTTCCGCTCGTAATTAGATAATGGCGCACGAGCTGACTGGCGACCTTCAACTTCTGTCTATGTTCAAAGTGGAGGAGAAATATGTCGTGTTTTCTTGGCAGTCTCGTTTATACCACGCCATTTTGCTGTCGAGGCTAGCGAACTGGAAGATCATTGATAATTAGCTGTCAAGGACAAGTCTACAGACGAACCAGGAAAACAATAGCACGTTTTTTCGGAACCGAAGTTGAGTCGTAAATTCACTTTAAGTTTAAAGTCAGGTTATTGACCATTAAGGTATAATGCAGCCTACATATTTCTGCAGTTTGAAGAATTAGGGAACGACGTCTTCACGAGTGAAATATAAGCAAGCAAACTACATAAAAACATGTAAGATTTGAGGTTTACAAACAAATTTTTATGAAGATTTCTGTCTTCTGGATTGTTACGCTGTGTAGTCTGGTCGATGTTAAC